GGCACTGCTCTAATAAATGGAGAGAAATTACTTCTTGTCCTAGTATAGGTAGGCCTAGGCGGTTCTTCTAGTTGCCTATTAGGGCAAGGCGTAGAGGCCTCCTTAGCCATCTGAATTTCTAGATTATTATCCATTAGTCGTTTGCTTGTGCCTCTAAGGTCCTTTGAGGCTAGTCTTTTTTTATTATTTTTATTGTTTTGATATGTCTGTGTTTCTTGCTGAATTTGAGCTTTAATAAGCTCCTGCGTTCCTATTGGCCCCTCTAGTCTTGGCATTAGAGCCCAAGCTCTGTGAGAAAATTCTCACAGGCGTGAGAAAACGAAGGAAGGCCTCCTTCTTCTCCCTACTGCGCGCTAGCGCCTTAGCTGCAGGTGTTGAAAGTGCTGTTAGTCGATTCCTCGTGGTCGGTTCTCCTAGATAGCGTGCTTTCCTAGCGGTTTCCAGAAAACTCGAAGTTGGTGTTGGTTGCCCTATTCTGTCTTAAATAGTCTAAGAAGCAGGCCCATGCGCGAACAAAGTCTCACGCCCGTTCGTCACATACGTAGGAAACTGACAGAATCTGGAGTCTTGCCTCCGGCTTCGGAGCGGCTTTTTACACATCACACACATTTCCATTACCAACTACGCATACGCCTTACACTTGATCTTCACGCAGTGCTACTATTCCGTACATGTATAACTGCCGTGCCACATTTGGTCTTGGCGGTGCGCTAGCCTTGCGGTGATTGGAGTGGGCGCCAGCTTGGCAGATGCAGCCATACTATCTCGCAGCGATAAGGCACTTCCCATGCCATATCTCTCCTCTCTACCCATTCTACATCCCACCTTTTGACTGTACGGCGGGGCCCGAGCATCGGCCGGCGCGTTTGTTGCAGACATGTCCATTGGTAGGATTGCCAAGAACAATCCCCACAGATACCCTGGGTATGGTTGTATCCCACCTTCGAATCCCACAGCAAAACCGAGGTATTCGCCAATGCTTTCGTGCATATGTCTTCAATAATGGTAAAATCGCCAAGATATTCGCCAGCCGTGCCAGTATGGTCGGTGAGACCTCTATGCATTTCTTTACCACAACATTGCTGCTATGGGAAAGCGGAACCATTGTAGTCGTGTATGTATCATCAAGAGAAGTGGCATGAAAAAAGAACAAGAAAGAACATCAATCGAGGATGAAGACCGGCCTGAACGGTGCTGGTAACGCGGGATCTTACGAATAAGCCACTCACCCAATATAGTTTCGGTCTATGGACCCTTGCTCATATGCAAACGTACCAACATCGACTACACGACCTTATCTCAAAGGATTCTCGATGGAATATGACTTCATTGTCACGAACCTGATGTCGGGACCTTATCTAACGTGGTTCTACAGGATGTGACTACAATGTCATGACACTGCTTTACCATCTTATCTCAAACACTTCGAGATAGGGTATGACTACAATCCCATATTCTCAAATTTTCAATCTTATCTGCAACGCCTGTTTTACAGCGACGTGTATAAAATGGAGTGAAACAACGCTGATGTAGCACAGCACGTCGCCACAACACGAGATGCGTCTTCTCTATCTCACCAACCTGGCCTTGGTCAGTCTGGCTAGCTGTTCCGCCGTGCCATTCCTCGGATACGATACAAAGGTCGCACATGGTCTCTTTGACAAACGTACCGCCAATAGCACTGTCCAGTCATGCTTCAAAGAAGCCGCACCTAGCGTTACGGCCCCGAAGAAGAACCCATGGGCTCCTTTGACCCCGGATGAGAGTCTTTCGGTTTGGAATCTGCTACACGATCCAGCTTCTGGTCTAAATTTGACCCATCCAGATGAGGCGACAGTCACTGACAACTATGTGTATGTTATTCCTTAGACTCGAGAGTGTGACTAACGACTGCAAGATTCTGGGTGGACGTGTTACACACTAATAAAAGCGATGTCTTGCCGTACATAGACGGGGATGCAGCAGCGCCACCCAAGTATGCCAGAGCCATCATCTTTCAAGGCGGGAAGCTAGAGCCTGATTCGCAGGAGTACATGATTGGGCCTCTTCCAGTGTCAGACGCAACTGCCATCGAAAAGCTCGATTACATGTACAACGGCGGTTCTGGAGGCTTAGTACCCTTTAACGCCAGATACGTCGACGGTCCAAAATCAGATGCGATTGAGCCACTCGTTGTATCCATCATGTCTAGCATATCCGACATTACCAAAGCATTGTTCCAAGGTGCTGCGTACTACGGATCCGATGACCCAAAGACCAATCTAACTTACACTTCCGGCGACCCAACTTCTTTTGACGGCACAAGCGCGTTCCAGCACTTGATGTTCCGTTTTCCCGGTACAGCGTCGTACATGACGCCCTTGGACTTTTTCCTTTCGCTCGACACTACGGGCACTGATCCGTCACTGTACTCTCTGAAAGGTTTCGTGACGAACGAGAAGTTCTATCCCTCCATTGAAGCGCTCCGAGCGGCTTTTGAGGCTGGCGAAATCGCCATGGAGTACGATCAGACCATGGACGCTGACTGGGCAATGGTCGACTACAAGCCGGAGCTAGGCGTGCGTGACCTGGAAGAACGTCTTGCACCGAGCACGCTCGAAATTGGCGGAAAGCGGTACAAGCTTGACAAGGAAAACCGATACGTCGAGTACATGGGATGGTCTTTCTACATGTCTTTTTCGCGAACGCTCGGTATCAGGTTCTACGACATCAAATTCAAGGGAGAACGCATCCTCTACGAACTGTCCATGCAAGAGGCTGCTGCACAATATGGTAGGTTGGTCTTCACCATTGCTGTATGAAACTGACTGTGTGAAGGGGGTAATCAACCCAAAGCAGCCAACACTGTCTATCACGACACTTACTACCAGGTTGGCACCAGGATGAATACTCTCGTAGAAGGCTTCGACTGCCCCTGGGGCTCTACATTCCTCAACCTGTCCTACCCCATAACCAACAAAACAAAAGTCAACGAGAACGCGCTCTGCATCTTCGAAACCGACATGAACTTTCCGCTATCGCGTCACCGCGCCGCAGGATCGACCGAGTACGGCTTCACCAACTGGGGCACCGTCAAAGGCTCAGGACTCATTGTGCGTGCAATTGCTACCGTCGGCAACTACGACTACATGTTTGATTATGTGTTCCACATGGACGCTTCACTCGAAATCATTGTCCGTGCATCTGGATACCTGCAGTCCAGCTTCTACTACCCTAAGCAAGGCACGTTTGGACCGAGAATCCAGCGAGCAACCCAGGGCTCGCTCCACGACCATGTCATCACGTACAAAGCCGATTTCGACATTGCCGGGACCAAGAACTCGCTTCAAGTCTCGGAACTGAAAGCGAAGAAGACGTCTCAGCCGTGCGTTGTCCTTTCACTCTATCCACACACACACACACAAATCAGCGCTAACTGAAATTCACAGGTGGTTCCCCGAGCTCGGCGAGTTCGAGCAGCTGGAAATGGACATTTCGTACATGGCCGAGGAGAAGCAGTTCAACTGGGCGCCCAACAACCAAGCCATGTACGTGGTGCTAAACCCCAACGCAACCAACGCATGGGGCGAGAAGCGCGGCTACCGCCTGGTGCCAGGCCGCTCCGACATCCATCTCTCGACGCTGCACTCGCCGTGGTCGCGCAAGAACTCCGAGTTCATAAAGTCGCATCTGGCCGTCACGCGGCAGCACGACACGGAGCCATATGCCAACAGCGTGCAGAACATCAATTTACCGTGGAAGCCACAACAAGACTTTAGCAAGTTCTTTGACGGCGAGTCAGTGGAAAACGAGGATCTCGTTGTCTGGTTCAATCTGGGTATGCATCATTTTACGCGCAGCGAAGATGTGCCCGTGACGCTGTACACGGAGGCCTTTTCGAACATCGTGCTTGCACCGCAGAACTTCTTCGATAGGGCGCAGGACGGTGATATCAGGAATCGCAGGTGGATCGAGGTGGATGTTGAGGGCGTTATGACGGTTGATACGTATGGCGTGGGCCTTGAGACGTGTCCCATTGTGCTGGGAGAGCCGACGGAGCGGTTGGGAAAAGTAGTGTCGATTTAGAGAAGACAGACGTAGTATCGATGCTGTGGAAAATCGACAAGAGAGGAAACAGTTATATGGATTTTCCGCCTGGTGTCTTGGAAGCAGCAAGCTGCTACACCAAAGTCAAATGTCTGATGAAAAAAAAAACACACACACATTCTAGAATGACTTTTTGTCGCGCATGTCTCACTTACCGCCGCCGCCGCTGCCGCCGCCCACAACAAAGCCCCAAAGATCCCATTGTTCAGTGCTGCCACAATTGTGCACTCTTTGTTTCTGCTGTAACAATACACACACATAATCTCTCTCTCCTGCTCCAAACGCACACACATACATACAATACACGACAACTTTCCTACATGTGAACTACTGCTCCAGACACGCCTCACACAAACGATCCCAACCGTCACCATCGCAAAAGCCATACATCAAACCTCAAAACGCACCAGTAATTTTTGTTTTTTTTTTAAAAAAAATGTACATACCCGCACTCGCACGCTCCGCCTCCTCCCCACCCGACCCCAAAATCGGGCCTATGCCTCTCACATGGCTGATTGTGCTGTGCCTCTTCGGGCCGTTCGTGCTCGGCTCGATAGGCTACGTTATTTATCTGTTTACAGCGGGCCGCCGCGTCAAGCGCGTGCAGCAGGATGAGGCGGCGGTGGAGGCGGAGAAAAGAAGGAGGGAGATTGAGATGTGGGCACGTGGGGAGTGGGCGGATGTACGGCTGAGTTAGGGGATGTGAGGGAGAGGTAGGGGGAGGAGGGGGAATGGGATAGTTTGGATAGTTGGATATGTGGGTATGTGGGTATGTGGTTGTTGTATTCATGTCCTAGTTGCAACATTCGCACGTGTCGATTGTTGCACAGCAGAGGAAAGAATACCTAAGTTAGATTGTTTTGTCTTACTGTTGATCTCACTAGTTTTCAGCTTAGAACCCACACAAATTACAATAAACAGGGCTGTATTATACTGTATACTGCGATTGATTCCCCCCACGCTCATCTACAAGCTAAATATCTCTCCTTCGTGTATTCCACAGCGCTGTTTACAATAGAAACCCGCTCACATCTACACACTGCATAACCAGCCACACACCCCTCCCCTTCCACACAGAGTGAGCAATAGAAACAAAGAAGAAAAAAACAGAAAAATCACAATGTCCGCATTCCCATCCACCACACTATATATAAACCCCCCTACTGAATCTCGCTCTTCAGCCTCCTCCATTACTTTTTTTTCCTCAGATACGTACTCCGCTTCCAACAATGTATCTGTACCACCGATTTCCCAGCAGTACTACTGCCACCACTGCCACTGCAACATCCACAACTACAACCACCTCTGCATACGCCCCTACAACCACCATCTCAGGCGCCCCAGGTACTACTCTCTCGCTCGCTGCTATTATAGGTATCGTTGCGGCAATTGTGTGTTTGTTCGGCGGACTGGCTGTGTTTGTTTATTGCGTGTATAGGACGACGGCGCGGCGGAGAGATGCGGTTGAGAGCGGGAGGAGGGATGAGGAGAAAGGAGTAGAGAGGAGGACGAGGAATGGATAGTATCTATGTAGATGAGTAAATGAATAGTATAGCTAGTCACTTCAGAATGCAAGAATGCCAGAATACGGAAAGTAGGAAATATGTATGTGTACGTGTTTTGAATATGTCTATACTTTGCACAACCACCCACAAACCCCTCTATCACTTTTTCTTCTTCTTCTTCTTCTTCTTCTTCTATACGAGACTATCAAAGCAATGTATCTCTGTGTATCTAAGTACGGCTATATCCTATCATAAACTTACTTATTACAAAAAAAAAGAAAATAGGAATACCCCAGCAATTCACATCTCCTTTCAACATCCCAAAATTTCATTTTCTTCGACTTCGATGCTGGGCATGGCGATGTCGCACCCAGCATGTATGATATCGTGTGGATCGCGCATGCGCTGCGTGATACGTTGGAGGAGCTGGGCGTCGAGTGTTTCGTCTGCTGGGGAGGAGGGACCGGAGAAAATTCCACAGTGGCTTGTTTGTGGCATGTAAAAGGCTTCAGTATATATTCCTGTCTCCTCTTTCGTCTTCGAGCGAGCTTCAAATTCTTCTTTTACCGTACCACCATATGCTGCTGTGTCATCTGCGGAACTACTCCCCCCCCTAGAACGCACAGGGGACTCGGAATCCAGCCAGAATCTTGTTCTTCGCGCGGTCCTAGCTAATTGTACTGGCGCGCTACTTTCCTGTCGTGTTGCAGAGCGCTGGCTACGCGTTATGCGCTTTGTGTCTGGTGTGTAGGACCGGTCCCAGCCTTGCATGTCGATGGCGAGGTCTTGAATCTCCTCCAGAAGTTTCTGAGATGATGTTCGCCGCTTTTTGGATGCCGGGCGGTGCACTGTGTCTGAGTTGGAGGGGGAATTGATGCTTCTGGCTTGGATGGTGCTGGGGTTTGGAGGTTTGGGGGCACGGCGGGGAGCTTTTGCGGCATGACGGCGGGGAGGTCTGGGGCTTTCTTGGAGAAATGGTGAGCAGGGAATTTTTGAGATAGGCTGAGATGGAATAAGTAGCTTACCCTCACTTTCGGAGCTAGAGTAGGAGATGAAGGAATGACGTCGAGCATGCTTTCTCGGCAGTCTTGCTCTATTCGATTCGCTCATGTTGGACGCTTGGGTGGCGCTGAATTCCTGAAAGTGCATCGGAGTGCTATATTTGTCTCCTCCCCTTCTTTTCAGCATTTTGATCCCTTTCGACTTTGCGTCCTCCTGGTACTCAGCTTCCAAAATGTCTTCTGACTCTTGACCATCATCATTGTCTGAGAGCAGTTCCACAAAGGCGGGAACCTTAAACTTAGCCGACAGGCTGTTGATATGGTCTAGCTGAGCTGCGGCTGCACGCAAGGCGTTGGTATCTGGTCTCTTTCGCTTTTTTGGAAGTCGTTTTGGTTTTTGGCGTGGGGGAGGGGTTTGGAAAGGTGTCGCTGACATGATTGTGCTGCCCTATGGAGAGGGACGATTCAATTGCAGTTTGGTATGAGATTATCCAACTGTGAACTGCTACCTTGGCAAAATACGGATTATATCAAGCAGTGGTATCCAGAAAGTTGAGGTGATGGCAAGATTAACAATCAGGTGGAAGACGAAAGGGTTGCTGGATAACGTTGGCGCGATACAGGTATTGCGGACCAGAAAGATATCGCCCCGTGATGATAACAATGAATCACGGGGTTTGGTGTTTGCTCACAAAGAATTTGAGTATTGGTTGTTGTAAACGGAGCACAAATAAGACAAGGCGTGGAAGCGAGAAATGAAAACATGAATAGGATTGATGTGGGTGCCTTGGAGCTGGCGCTTTGCCGAAGTTGAGATTGCATTCACTACTGCGTGAAGGCAACTCTGAGTGATGCGTCTGGCATGCCCTTGTAGACATACGTAGTCACTGAGACTTGAGCCACCACCTCGGCAGCGTGCTGGCTTTCCTCACCCTCGAAATCCACGTACCCATCCAACTAGTCCATTAATCTGCCAGTGTTTTCGTTCACGACAGTAGTTGTAGGCATTGCGAAGCTGCAGATCAAACGTGAAATTTCATTTCCTAACCACCACAGTTATGATGTGTAGTTTCTGCGCCTCCTCGGTGTAGCCTTGCCGCACAATCCCTCGTACTTGTGTGATTTATCGTAGTTCAGGGAATACTGAATGGCGTTATCGGCAATCACAAAGTCGCGGTCACTGCTGGTCTCTCCCGCGTTTGCACGTTTTGAGAGTATGGCTTTTGTGCGTTTTATCCCCGTACGCGGGTATGTCAGAGTTGGTGGTTTTATTCGTTTCCTCGATTCGGTTGAATACAGTGATCGGAAACGATGGGTAGACCTTGGTCTAGGATTTGTATTTGATGAGCGAGCGTTTGATGTTGTAATTGGTTCCGCTGCTGGCGCGTGATCATCCCACTTGAAGGTGGAATCACTCAGGTCTATCTTAACCTTGATTTCTTCGGTGTCTGGGTTGGTAGACTTTTCTTGCTGCGAAGAACGTAGAGTAGCCGTGCGAAGTTGATCTGGCGCTTCACTCATTCTGATCGCCCTCTTTATAGCTTTGGTCATGTGGCCCTTGGTATCAATTACAAGATGATATAGATCCCGTATAGGCAGCGCCGGAGCGACTGCCATCAAGTGCGCAACCTTGGATCTCACATCAAAGTCTTCAATGTCCACTAATGCCATGTCCTTTGCATGTTCCTGTTCCACCTCGCGTTGGTCACCTGGTGAATTTGCACGAGAATGAAGCACATTGGTGCGCGCAGTTGGAAGTAGACTTCGACTCTTGGGTTGGGTCTGGAGTGAGCGGTATTGCCATGGGCCGGGTGTGTTGAGCTTGATACGTGTAAACAACCGAGAGTTTCTAGCCTCGCGCATATTCGTGGGGCGGCTATTACAGATTAGAGATATCAAGCAAGGTCATTAAGTCACATACTCTCTACTAGTGACTTTGTGGACATTTTCAAAGTCACTCGTTTTTGTTTCAGCTTGCGGAATGGCATCTGGTGAGAGTCGGTAGCTGGTAGCTGGTTTATGAATTGCTGAAGTCTTTTCAAAAGATGAAAGTTGATATGGGGAATAAAGTGCACCTGGTCTGGTTGTGAGGGTACGAGTGGGGCGTGGGGTGGGTCTACAACAGTTAGTAATATGCAATCTGGAGATGCAACAGCAGCAGCTTTGAACGCAAGAGATGCGATAGGTTCGGCAGGTTGTGTTTTACCGTGGAGCATGGGGTACTGTAAGATCTTGTCTGCTTGCTGCCACAGGCTCATCTGAGTCGCTATCGATTTTGATTGGAGAATTGTAGGAGGTACCCAAGTGTATACCCGGACTAACATCTGCGGTAGTGTGTGTTTCATGTCTAGGTACTGGAGAATCCTTGAGGGCTTTTGGTACAGGTATAGATGGGCCGAGTCTTTTGCTTGGGTGGCCGAGCTTCTCTTTGCACCATGGTGGAGCTTTGTTTCTCTGGAACCCCAAGTCGCTCTTCGTGTTTTTGGAGATGCGACATGGTCTTTCTCGCGCGACACTAGCAACGGATGCTGTCAAGCGGGGTAGTCCGCGGACTGGTGAATAAGAGTCTGCCGCCAAGTCGAATATAGATGAACTCTGGAAATGCAACGGCCCATGCTGTTTTGTCGGAATTTTACCGCCTGTCTGAAAATTCTGGTACTCGCTACTCAGTCCATAAGGCAACAGGATGGGTAAACGTGGCATGGTCCAACAAATGAAGGTGGGTTGCAGCGAGATGAGTCAGTCAGCGATGTGAGTCAGTCAGCGGGCGGGTGCGAACAAGCGAGCGATTCCGCATGGTGGGTTGTAAATGGCAGAACGTGTTTCCGTCATGCACAAGTGAAATGCGTGGATGACAGTGAGAGGGCGCGTGGGCGGTGGGGCTAGCTGTGGCGCAGGCGGTGGCGCAGGCGGGGCACTACATCTCAGGTGGCTGGGGACCGCCAAGGTCCTGTTCTTCCGGCGCAACATCTTTTTCCCAACAATATCAAACCATAATATTATTCAAGTTGCGGTGTATGTTCCTCACGGCCTGGTGGCTCAACAACAAGCGGCCAACTAGAAGCCGGACTGGAGAGAGTCAAAAGGGGGTGGCTGGTGATGGGAGCCAACAAGAGACCAAGAGACCAAGAGCAGAAGAAGCAATGTGTGGTTATTCAGGGGAAATGGGGCGAAACGAGGGTATCCAGAGGGTGTCAGACTCCGAGAGGCGACACATGATGTGGTGCGGTGTCTGACAAATGTACAGTTGGACGAGGATGCTTAGGCGACTAGGACATGGCATGACATGGCGGTAAAGGAACAAGTCGCCCATTTGCATCGCTACGAGTCCTGCGGTGTAAGGAAGGCTGACCGGGCGGATCGTCTGACAGGGTCTTTTTGCTCGGCCATACTGTGGGTGTGCGCGTAACGCGTGGTGGTGAATGAGGCAAAGGACGGCGTGCTGGACTGTCGGCGGCAGCATGAGAAGGGACACTTCCGATTCCGACTCGCCTGGCCTTCCAAGAGATTGCAGGCTCATCAACAGCAAGCCCCATGGCACCAAGTGAGGCGGCGGCGCGGACTCTGGCAGTGAAGTAAGTGAGTGTGTGTCAATCGCTGGCTGGTGGCGGGGCTGACCAGGGCGACATGTCTTTCCCCCCCGGTCGCGCGCTACGACACGACGACGTCTCAGACCAGCCCAGCCATCTCCACCCAGCACGTCGACAGCACGGCGACAACATCGAGACAACTCATCGCGCCCGCAACAGCCCGCGCCTAGGCCGCCCCTCTCCACACGCGCCAGCTGTCGCGCATTTATGAGCGCCATCCGCCCGCCGTATGGGGCAGGTTCCAAGAGTCTACCACCGTGATTTCGCCGTCCCCGGTTCCACTCGGTCGCGAATGGCTTCTGGTAGCATTGGCCATGTGCCCGCCTCGACCTTTGCTGAGTACGTAGACGATCCTTTTCTCGCCGCCGCCTGCGATGAGGCAGGCCCTGGGCAGACGGAAGACGACGACGAGACGCAATGCGCGCCGGCGCATCACCACCAGCCGCCCGCCCAGTGCATCGCCGTGCGCCCCGCCCTGTCGCATCGCCTGTTCTCCCAGCATCTGCATGTACGAGCAAAAGCTAAGCTGCAACGCGATAGACTGCTTTCTGGACCCATGATCGACATCTACGTAGGCGCGGCCAGGCGCCACTGGGCCCTGCACCGCAACCTCTTGTGCCACCACTCCGAGGCGCTGGAGAACGAGCTGCTGGGCGACGCAAACGGCAGCACCAGGAAGGACCGCCTCGACCTGCCCGACTACGACCCCGCCGGCTTCGAGCTGCTCGTCAAGTGGCTCTACCAGGGCACCCTGGACGATGTCTCGGACATGGTTGACGACAACCAAAAGTACGACTATGCCGTGAGCTGCCACAAGCTCTACATGCTCTGCGAGCGCCTCAACATGACGCAGCTGAAGAACGTGGCCATGGACCAGTACAGAAAGGGCCTCAACCAGGCTCAGCTGGTCCCCGATGCCGACGAGATTGACGCCATCTACCGCACGAGCTCGACGGGCTCGCCCTTTCGTCGACTGGTCACAAGCATCGCCGCGCGCCAGATCATGGATCCTGGCAACGAGCGCGATGTCGAGACGTATCGCGAGTGCTTTACCAACAACCCCGACTTTGCCATTGACCTGGTCAAGGCAATCCGGTCCGGCACGGGCGGCATGCTGCTCGACGACCCGACCGACAGGGGCAATGAATGTCTCTATCACGACCACCACGCTAGTCCAAACTGTTACACCAAAGAGAAACCAAGGGGGAAGCAAGGTGTGTAGTCCTGCTTTGTCTGCAGTCCATTTCCGGCGCCACCATATTCTCCTACCCGCCCCTGAATCTCTCAACACACCTAGTAACTCCCATTAACCAGCAAACAAGAGCGCCGGCCACTCATCCGCCAAATCGGTTCCCTACATAAGCTGCGACCGGCCGAGCCGCCCTCGCCGCCCTCGTCCCCAGACAAAGTCACCCCCACGACCTCCCCCGCCAGCTCGCCTACGAGAAAGAAATCCTCTTCGCCGTTGCCTGACAAGCCCGGTGAGTTCGACAGTTGGTACGTCGAGGGAAATGGCAGTCGCTACTCTACCCCTCAACCCCGACGGAATTCGGGAGAGGGAGAGGGACATGAAAAGGCTGCGCAGGGTATCCCCCCCAGACAAAAGACACCTAGAGCGAACTTTAGTCAACGGTACGAAGACGCCGGAGCTACGCCAAGCCCTCGACGAGCACCGCCAAAGCTTAGAAGACATGCATCACCAGTTGAGGGACAGCCGGGTGGTCAATGGGCTTGATGGCGAGGGCCAAGGGGGTCCCGTGCAGCCGATGCAGCAAACGCCCTCACACCGCGCCATCTGGGAGTGGGCCAGCGGAAGGCCTAGAGGACTAACAGCAGACGATATCACGACCAATGATACGTCCAACATGTTTACTATCCCCGAAACCCGAGACGACTTCAGTATTTCGTCCAGCACGACCTCCGAGAAGACTGCCATACACCATGAGGCCATGGATTCTATAATTGACAAATCTGGATTACCCAAAGCACATATCACCCCGTCCCCGTCATTTTCCCAGACAAAGCGTTCTTCGGACGACCTCGTAGCTGCGTCGTCGAACGTTACTACTCCAGCCCACTTCAACCACCCGACTGAGCAGTGGCGGAATGGACAGCAAGACACGCCATATCTTGCATATAAAAACAGTCCGCCTCCCATGCCTGAAACTCTGACTCCGCTGCAGTATCGAAGAGACACACCAATAGAAGATGATGATGCTCCCACAAGCGATGCGCAAGTCAGCGAGAGCCCGGAACGTGGAGAGTCATCAAGTGCAGCGGCGCAAAATGCAACACCGGACACGTCGGATGCACGCCCAGTACGAAAGTTCAAGGTTACCCTTACCCCCAAAATGCTTTCCCCTGCTCGCACTAGTACCAGTGTCAGTAAATGATTTTTCTTTTCGTATAGAAGATACCCGAAACATACAAATGCAACGTTTGTATTTATTTATTTGATTATGAATACCACTTTTTTGTCTTGCTCTTTTTTACCGTGGTAGCCCAAGTGTAACATCCCCTCACGACTACCCCGCACAGGATCATACAATCTACGCAGTGTAGTACATGCACATGAAGGATCTTGGTTTCTGCCCCGCGGAGTCTACAGACCCACTCATCCGCGCTCTGATATAGCCATTTCCCATTGTGTCGAGGTATGTAGATCTGCCGTTTTAGTACACCTAACAAGCGCGGGGTGGGACCTCGGTCTGTGTAGTGGATACGCCAAAGCGTTATCCACACTAACACGGCAGTAAGACCGAGTCTAGAGAAACGTACGACGCGGAAACCAGCCTTCCGTTTCAGTCAACTTGGGCTAACCCCGTAGAAGAGCATACGTTTCGAAAGAAACTTTGGCTGGGGTCATCTCTGACCAACCCCTACGACGAGACGGCATTTTCGGGAAAGCCGGTGAGTCTTGCTGAGGGCCGGAAATGCAGCTAGCCACTTATATTCCTTGGCACACTCCCCCCTAAGGTCTGACATCCATCAAGTACGTCACTACCGGCACTCTTTAAACCTTCGCCACTGCTCCCGAGGACACTGGCCCTCTTCTTCAGAATACATGGGGACTCTAATTACCGGACTGATAACAGCAGCGCTGTTGTACGTTGCTTCCAGGCTATGGAGGTTGTCAAACAACTACCGCGCAGCCCGCGCCACCGGGGTGCCTATGGTGATATGTCCATATGATCCAGATAGCGTGAGTTGCCATGCCTCTCGCACAAAGAACTTGCGCACGTTGAGCAATCTGCCCCTGCTCGTTCTGCCCGTTCACATGGAAGAGTCTGATGCTAATGATACTACCAGGCGTTTTGGTTGGTTATTTCCGTGCCCATCCGTCCCATTCTTCGCTCTCTTCTCCCTTCTGGTCTACCTGCCAGCGTAGAACTGAGTATCTGGGGTTGGGAATTCCGGAGGAAAGCGGCTGTCCACGAGGAGCTTGGGCCCGTCTTTTTCCTCGTCAACACGGGCGTTAATCGGCTTATTTGTGCGGATCCATCCATGGGCTATGCCATTATGTGCAACAGGAAGGATTTTACCCATCCAAGCCTCACCGTCACGGTTATGGGGCTCTTGGGTTCTAATATTTTGACGGCAAGTCTAGCACTCGCCTTTTGCACACAGTACGTCTGACTATTCGAGTCCAGTCTAAAGATGAATCCTGGGCCCGCCAACGTCGCATCGTCGCCCCGTCTCTGAACGAGCGCATTAGTCCTGAAGTATGGACAGTAGGCTTGGGTCAAGCATCAAACATGGCCGACGTTTTGATTTCGTCTTCTGCGTCTCCTAGTGTCCAAAAACCCGCCAACGCAATATTTGGCGTCCGCAAGATTGCCATGAACGTCCTTTCCCACATCGCCTATGGACAGGACAGGCCGTTTACTTTTGACCCGCCTTCGACGAAATCGTCTGCCAGTATTTCATACGTAGATGCCATTGCCATGGTCACTGAACAAATTACCTACGCTGCATTCATTCCTGCCAAGTTTCTAGGGCTATCCTTCATGCCGGACGTAGCGCAACGATTGAGTGCAGCACTGATACGGCTGCCTGGGCTTACAAGCGACATGCTCAACCAGGAGCGCCAAAAGAGCGCTTCTGCACCGCCAGAGAATTTGCAGACTGAGAGTTCGACCGGCAGCCCTGGTACCATTATGAAGACGCTTGTCCGCCTGTCAGACCAGGAGAAGGTCCTTACCAATGAATCAACTGCGGGATCCAGTACCTATCTCACAGAGGAAGAAATTGCAGGGAATCTCTTCATCTTCACGGCCGCCGGCTTCGACACAACTGCAAACACCATGTCCTATGCCATTTCGCTGCTCGCCGCACATCCCGAGTGGCAAGCCTGGATCCAGACTGAAATCGATTCCGTATTTGGAGCCCCCGGAACACCGCCTCCAGACTATGCGACTGCATTTCCCAAACTAGTCCGATGTCAAGCTGTCATGGTAAGCCGTTTCGATCTCATCTTAGATTCCCAAATCATACACTTCAACCAAGAGCCAGCTACCCAGAATCCTGCCTCACCTGATGGTACCGCCTGCTGACAAGACTCAACCACGCAGTTCGAAACCCTGCGCCTCTTCCCGCCGGTAGTTCTTCTCATGCGCACCATAACCTCACCCCAGAGCCTCGTCGTCGGCGACACAATATACAACCTCGCAGCCCCTTGCACCGTCTACGTTAACTCCATGGCCCTCCACACCTCACGCGCCTCCTGGGGCGACGACGCCCTCTCTTTCAACCCTGCGCGCTGGCTCCAACCGGGCAATCCAGACCCCGTGCTCATGACGCCGCCCCAAGGCACGTTGATCCCGTGGTCTGTGGGCCCGCGCGTGTGTCCCGGGCAGAAGATGTCGCAGGTGGAATTTGTCGCCGTCGTCTCAACCCTCTTCCGCAAGTGCAACGCCAGACCCATTGTGCACGGCGGCGAGTCCTTGCAAACGGCGCAGGCCCGTTTGCTTGATATGCTGCAGAATAGCCAGCCTGTGTTGACGCTGCAGATTAGCAGGCCCCAGGATGTGGAGATTGAGTGGCTGAAGCGCGCGGTGAAGGCTTAGTTGTTGCGAGGGGTATTGGCGTGAGATGGGGAGAAGAGGCGAGGGGTGTTGGTTGATTTATTATGCTCCCCCCTTCTGTCTGTTTCACCCGAACTGTGCGTGTTTAGGTTTGGATCCAGCTTGAGGTTTGGTGGTACTTCGGAGAGGTGGAGGGCGGATATGATCACATCATGCGGTGATGCGATCGATGCTTATTTTTATTTGGAATCTTTGCTACATAGCAGAAGATGCTATTTGTGGTGTATAATCTGAAAGGCTGTTTTGGGCTATTTGCTGGACAAATTCATATATGGTTCGCCCTTTCTGGTGCACGGTAAGCCTGCTTTGAATCTACGACCGAATTCAAGTGAAGCAGTGGAGTGCATGAAGAATCAGGGTGCTTTGACATCGGCATGGGGGTTAGTATGTAGGATGAATTGATGTATATCTGTGATGACGATGATGCTCCGGTTTTGAGAAGAAGATTGCTCATCGATTAGCCCTGTAACCAGCATGCGATATGTATCATAGATACATGTACTTTGCAATTACTAGACAACATATTTAGATACCTGTTAGTCTAGTTTCAGCTATGCTCCAACTTAGAAACCAGTAGACGGCCATCGGTTTTTAAGAAGTTAGTCCATGTAAAATCAAGATTAGATCCAGATATTTGATCCGTCCACACGATAAACGAAGCGGACAGATAGTCTGGACGCTTCTCAATCATATCATCAGAAGCTGAACTCAAGGCGGTGTAGGGCGGCATTTACAGCATCGCCTATGTAGCCAAACACTATCCTTGAAAGCCACTAAGCGTCAGCACTAAGTAAGACACTCAGCGGAAGGGCTTGGCGCATGCTCTTCTCCATGCAACCATCTCTAGTCCCTAGTGCTTGGGTGATCTAGATGTTTAAAGCTTAACAAGGACTATATCAACTACACGTTTCCAAGGTATTCAACACCACCGGAATACACATTCATCTTCTGCAACTCTCATATTAACGCTTACTACTAGCCATCCAATACCGTAGAATTACAACCACCATGCCAGCATTACCGGAAACCGACTTGCCTGACGCCGATAGCGCTGATCTCGTGCTCTCCCACCCCACAGTAGAAGAATGCAATACCATTTGCAACAACACGGCGAGTAGCTGGGCAGATTCTCTTCCTCTCCCGGTGTACATGGAAGAGTCGTTGTTTCTCACCACGGTTCCTCTAGCGCGCGACGGGGGCGTGACTCCATGGATCCTCGTGCATAAAGATGAATTGCCAAACCAGCGCCACATTCTGTGCTCATGCGAGTCCTACATCAAGCGTACCCTTACCAGCGACTCCAAGGGCACTATCAGCGATAATATTATTATTGTTCCATTAGAGTCTAGTGAGCTCGAGGCTATGTAAGACTTTGGCCGAGGCCGTTCTAACTAGATTTATTTACAAATACGAGTTTGTGCTTGAAGTGTGTCTGTGGTGCTTCGGCCTTTGTCTAGGTAAGCGATAGCTATCGCTTACTAGACGCCTAGTGCTAAAGAGCATTTTGATAACAGAAAGAGATGTTAGAAAGCAA